TCGTTGCACGATAAATTTTCGTCCATCCCGATTGCAATGTCGTCAATGTGACTTATATTCAAATTTTTGTAGAGAGAGAGGAAAGCTGGTCGACACGAAAAGTGTGTTACTTGAATGGTAAATGTTCCGCGAATATGCGTGTCAAAGTGGCGCCGAGAGAAACGAGAGATCGCACGCGGGGTGCCTTAAATGGAAGTGCCCCTGGCTTGTCCTCGATCTCGCGTTCTTCTCGCCTTCTCTTTCAACGCGTTTCTCTATTTCCCTTTCCCTCTTCCCGCCCTCTTTCGTCATTTCCCTACCTCTTTCTCTTCACCCCTGTCCTTTTCCCGCTATGCACAGAGAATTTATATTGTCCTTGATTTTATCACGCCTAGAAAAGTCGAATCGGCAACACGATTCAGATTTACGATTCGATGAACTACTTGATAAATTTTCTAGTTATACAAGACAATCGCGATCACAGACAATTAGCAATCAACTCAATAGTAAGTGAAATAAATTCTCAAAACTGCGTTATCCAAGTATTTCATTGTGATATATTTTTTACTTCCTTTTAAATACAATATGAAATTATTTAAAAACGGTACCTCCATCCGATTTGAAAAATATTTATTATTAACAAACAACATATTTAGCAATTTTTTCAATTACAAACACTCTGGTAATAAGAGTGCTGAAAAAAGAAATGATTCTAAATAGCCAGAAGAGCTATCAAAGTATTTACCTCAATGTACACGAATAAGTGGAATATCCAGTGGAATATCCATTCTATTTCGCAACTCTAATTTATTACATGGAACTATGAAATATAAAGGAAAATTCTCAAAACAAACCGCAACGAGTGCTTTGTCATTTTATTAATCAACTTACTATCGACTGAGAGACAAGGAAAGAAGAAGATAAATTCCCCGGTTAATTATTTGCACAACACTAGTAACTATTAATCTATGCACTCATAATTACATGTTCGCAACACTAATAACGGTCCAGTGTAGCCATATAGGGGACTACTGGTGAAACTGCATCTGATGATCCAGGAGCAGCAACGGTGCTTCCACAGTCAAATGGGAGAAGGATGCATGATAAGCATGATATAGGCGCAACACTACTTTGAAAGACGCGATCATTCATCAACGCAACTTTAACCAGGCAACTAATTAAAATGAACGCGACGAAAACAAAAATAAAATTAATATCTATAACACGAAGAAAAAGCTGATTGAAACATCGTACTACTACAAACTTCAATACTGTAAGTCGATGATAAAATTCTATATCCTACTTTAAAGGGAACAAGAAACTTGAAATAAGTATTAAGAAAGAAGTTCTGACAATTTGTAATTAAAATTGTTAAATACAATCGCGATTGTCATATTTTGCAATACTAAAATCAACGCGAATACCATTTCTTCCTAATACAAAAAACGCTAACGCTAATAAAAAAAATAGGCGGTTTATCCAATGCAATGGAAGGTCGACATATCCCAGTGCAACCATTTAGGAGGTTGCTGATTGTTCGACCGTTTCGAGGAGAGACGCGATCGCGAGATAACGCGTCAACGAGAGGCGTAAATTCCCGTTACGATGAGACAATCGACGCCACGAATTCAGTCGATCCCCTATTTCGGTTAAGAGAATAGAAGTGGTTGATTAATATTAACACTTGGTTAACAATTGAAATAACACTTTATTTCTAACAACTTCGAATACGACAAGTCTGCGAATGTATCGCGTGTATCGTTGCGAAAATACAAAGATTTGATCGCAAGTTAAGATGTGCTCAGCGAGAAATGTCGCTAGCAAGTAAGTTTTGGAGGAAAAACTAGCGATAGTGATTTTCGTAAAGGAAGCCAAGGTCACGGCCATCGCTTTTAATTGGATAAAAATTGATGGGTAGGGGTTAATGCTGGCTGCCCCCTATTGAAGGTCGCTAGCAGGTAAAAACGGCCCCCGAGTGCTGTATATGGTACGAAATATTTGGTTCATTAAGTAATCCACAGGGCTGAGTAATAATTCTAAGGAACCTCTTGTTGCAAGTTAAAGATTTTAAAAGTCATGATCGTAAAAACGCTATGTTTATGGCGGTTCCTTAAGATTAGGTTTACCCAGATAGTAACCTGACCGAGGGACAGATTCTTTGTTTCACGTCGGGTCACACAACGTAACACCGATGAACGGTAACATTTGTACAGCTCTTGTAGCTGTACCCGAGTGATCCAGTAACAGTCTCCGACAAATGTAGATTTTGAGCATTTTATAAACGCAACTCTACTTGACAAACCGCGATCATTCATTATCGCAACGCTAAAAGGAAAATTAATCAGAAATCACGATGGGATGATATCGTAAAGCTAACTCTTAAAGTGAATTCATGGAAATTAGTATTTACTATATGAAAAAACTTCGTCAAGTATCCTGACGTTGCAACTTACATTACTACAAAATTAATTAAAAACTAACATTTTTATAATCGAATTTTAAACAATAGAAAATAGGATAAATTATGACAAGTACAATTTTCTAAGAAATACTAAAAATTCATAATAAAAATTGTAAAAGACTATCGCAACATCATAATTGGCAACTCTAAAGCAAACACGATTAGTATTTTGTCGCAAATCTAATTTAAACCGTGATCATTCTTTCGCGACACTAATAAAAAGCCGCGATATTACATCGTAGTTCTAATTAAACCCGTAAATATCTCGCAACACTAATAATAATAAAATATCTCGGCCAGAAAAAGAACTA